ACTTTATTTCTTATAATCGTTATGGTCTCTGATTAATCTGCATCTTAGTGGTTGCTATCTAATGTCTAAAAGAAGTTTTAATTGCTGTATATTTATTTTCTAAGGTTTCCACCGGCAATTCCCGCTGTTATTATTTTCATTGAAGAATTACTTACGCACGTACACTGCCTTTCAATTATAATCTAATCCACTGCGCATACCTACATACATAAATATGTTTGTATGTACCTATGTATATAGTTTTTTTATTGTACGATTTATTCGTCTAGTCTTTAATTGATTGTGTTTTATATGATTTCTGTTTTATTATTTCCAGACTATGATCCCAAAGTGGTCGAACAGAAAGAGCAGGCGCAGCCTGCATGTTTACCGTTGAGCTATGTATTGCGTTTCATATCGGAAGATGGGCGTAAAGAGAGCCCATTTTTATCCGCCAACAGTACGGGCGTTGAACTTAAGCGGAAGTTGGCGATCAAACATCACAGTTACAGTATGTCGTCGTCAAATCGCAGCAATACGCCCACTGGTGAGAAAGCGAATCAGTATGAATATGAAACTGTATTCGCACTGATCCGCTAGACAGTTATTTATCAATCAAGTATTTTACTAATCAACTACGTTTTGTTTTCACAATTCGTGGTTTTTCACTTATCTGATAAAATTTCTAGGCAGTGAAATGGACGATGATGAAATGGTTGTCTCAGAGTCGGAGGACAGCAATGATTCTTGGACAACTGAGGAGTTCAGTTCCGAGTTCATAATGCGTTACGGGAGCAGGTGATTGCTCAAGAAATTTTTTTTAAGACAAATTTAAATATATATATTTGTGAAGGCATTCCGGAACCGGCAGCAATGGGACACCGGGCAATGAGAAGCCGTTTGCGTGTCCTGTGCCTGGTTGTAAAAAGCGTTACAAGAATGTCAATGGCATCAAATATCACTCGAAGAACGGCCACAAAAAGGACGGAAAGTAAGTGTGTTCAAGAAACAGAAACCTTCATTATTACTAACTTACTTATGTGCATATTACGGTGCTTTTTTTTCGGCGACTCCTTTTTTTTGCACTCCCACCTCGAAATTTCGTGGGAAATACCAAAAAAGAACTAAAAATTAATAAAAAAAAATACTTAAAAAAAACACGAGAATTTCATGAAACAATTGGGTTTGGTGACTACCTCGNACAAGAAACAGAAACCTTCATTATTACTAACTTACTTATGTGCATATTACGGTGCTTTTTTTCGACGACTACTTTTTTTTGCACTCCCACCTCGAAATTTCGTGGGAAATACCAAAAAAGAACTAAAAATTAATAAAAAAAATACTTAAAAAAAAACACGAGAATTTCATGAAACAATTGGGTTTGGTGACTACCTCGTGACTTGATGGGAGTTAGGGTTACGCCGCAACGGACACTTTTGTAGCGCATTAAATTCTGAAGAAACCCCATCATTGGCCAAGATTATAGCACAAAATGCCTCGGAGATGTAGACGTTTGAAAAAAAAAACTCAAAGTTAACGTGTATTTTGAACAGGAAATCTTTGCACGCCTTGATTTATTTTTTATTTTCGTGCAAAAAAAAATTGTCGAGAAAAAAGCAGCCTAGTACATACATATACAAACTCTATCTGAAATTTTCACAAAAACTTGTTTCTGATATAAGAACCCATCTATGACTTAACTCAATTAATTAATGACTAAAAGCATAAACAGTTNCTCAAAGTTAACGTGTATTTTGAACAGGAAATCTTTGCACGCCTTGATTTATTTTTTAGGTATTTCCCACCAAATTTCGTGCAAAAAAAAATTGTCGAGAAAAAAGCAGCCTAGTACATACATATACATACTCTATCTGAAATTTTCATAAAAACTTGTTTCTGATATAAGAACCCATCCCCATCTATGACTTAACTCAATTAATTAATGACTAAAAGCATAAACAGTTGATCCGGATCAACTCGCGAATTAACTGCAGTTGATCCGGATTAAGCGCGAGTTAATCCGGATCAACGCTGCCGTCTCTTCAATTTTGTGATAATTGTAGATCTATCTGTACTGAACGACCGCTAAAGTCGACTCTACATAGAATATATTTAATAACAGAATTGTTTACTGGCATGAATCACAATCTCTTGTCGTTATTTTTAAGAATACATCCCAGTAGATAATTTCAGGAGTTAAAAGCCCTTCCAAAAGGCCTTGAGAGTTAAGAGGCCTTTCACTGTACATATGTTTTTCCTTTATTTTATGTATGGAGTGGCTCAAATTCAAGGCCTTCCGCTTTCGCTACCCATAGAAAGGCTTCCGCACAAGCTTTTGTAAGACGTATTTNCAATTTTGTGATAATTGTAGATCTATCTGTACTGAACGACCGCTAAAGTCGACTCTACATGGAATATATTTAATAACAGAATTGTTTACTGGCATGAATCACAATCTCTTGTCGTTATTTTTAAGAATACATCCCAGTAGATAATTTCAGGAGCTAAAAGCCCTTCCAAAAGGCCTTCTTGAGAGTTAAGAGGCCTTTCACTGTACATATGTTTTTCCTTTATTTTATGTATGGAGTGGCTCAAATTCAAGGCCTTCCGTTTTCGCTACCCATAGAAAGGCTTCCGCACAAGCTTTTGTAAGACGTATTTCAGAACGCTTTTTGGGGAGTACTTAATTCATAAAAATCATACTTTAAGGTATTTGTTTTATGTTTTTTTTTTAATCTAAAATTCATATTTAAATTCATTTGTAATGTTAAATAATATAAATTTACGCATTCGCGTAAATGGCAAATAGAAAAAGACCTTCTAGAAGCCATGCAGGCAAGCACTTTTTTCANTCATATTTAAATTCATTTGTAATGTTAAATAATATAAATTTACGCATTCGCGTAAATGGCAAATAGAAAAAGACCTTCTAGAAGCCATGCAGGCAAGCACTTTTTTCAGCCATTGGGTAGGCCTTTCAGAATGGCTTCACTATAGAAGGCCTATCTAAATTATCTTCTACAACTTATTTCACTTTCATATATATTTTTACCCCTCAAGAATCGGGCTTTTACGCCCCGCTCTACTTGAATAGATATTTTTTTCTTCAGTAACTGACCCTTGTAGGTCTGAGAGAAGATTCATTTTAGCTTATCTTGATTATGGTTATATATTGTCTGAAAACTGAAATGGTTTTATATTTCAAGTATCTGTTTGAGTAGTAAATACTCAATTACTTAGTATTTAGTGTTTTTAATTACTAAACTACAAAATCCTCGGAATTTAAAGATGTTAACTGCAGTTGATCCGGTTTAAGTGCGAGTTAATCCGGATCAACGCCGCCGTCTGTTTAAGCTTNATACTTAGTATTTAGTGTTTTTAATTACTAAACTACAAAATCCTCGGAATTTAAAGATGTCAGTGTTGATCCGGATCAACTTGGGAATTAACTGCAGTTGATCCGGTTTAAGTGCGAGTTAATCCGGATCAACGCCGCCGTCTGTTTAAGCTTTTACCATCTTATAAGCTGGTAACAAAATATTGCCCAGTGAAATATGCAATGCCAGAATTTCCACAATTCTTCATAGTTGAATTGCTGAATATTTTAACTGCATTACCAATGTACCTAGGATCGCGGTGACGACGAACTGGAANGGAATTTCCACAATTCTTCATAGTTGAATTGCTGAATATTTTAACTGCATTACCAATGTACCTAGGATCGCGGTGACGACGAACTGGAAAGATTATATGGTGCGATTATTATTTCTTCGACCACTATATTTTAAAACACCCAAAATTAAAATATGGAGGGTATGTTGTACAATAAGATTCCCAAAAGTACATTTATTTATGTACGTCGCTGGGGAAACATCGATAGTGCATCCCATTTTGGCGACGTAGTTTCAGCTTCGTAGTCAACTTGCCACTCTAATGCTTTGAGAATTGCTATAATGGTACAGTTCGTCGCTGTTAAACCCAGAAATTATAAAATGAGTGTAAACAACCTCTTACAATTAAAATGTAAATTCGCCCAGCAACTTCAAAGTTGTAATTGCCATATCCCTAACAGCTGGCAACAGAGTTGAGATTTAGTTGTCATTATCAATCGACCCTTTAAATTGAACTTCTTCATCAATATTTCCAATTAATTTTTATTTTTGTAGAGTTCGCAAAGGCTACAAATGTCACTGCGGCAAGAGCTACAAAACTGCTCAAGGCCTGAAGAACCACGCTTTGGTGGCACACAACTCCTCGCCTGAGAGCGTTTTGAGCACACAACATACGGCTAATATGACTGCTAACAACAATGGGACCAACGTTAATGTGGGCTCAGGCATTATTTTNCCTAACAGCTGGCAACAGAGTTGAGATTTAGTTGTCATTATCAATCGACCCTTTAAATTGAACTTCTTCATCAATATTTCCAATTAATTTTTATTTTTGTAGAGTTCGCAAAGGCTACAAATGTCACTGCGGCAAGAGCTACAAAACTGCTCAAGGCCTGAAGAACCACGCTTTGGTGGCACACAACTCCTCGCCTGAGAGCGTTTTGAGCACACAACATACGGCTAATATGACTGCTAACAACAATGGGACCAACGTTAATGTGGGCTCAGGCATTATTTTGCAACGCAGCAGTTCGCCCTCGCAGTCATTGGGTTCCCTCAGTCCATCCAGCATCAGCAACATGTCAAGCAGTGCCAGTAGCTGTCATGGCAGTGCTACCAGCAACACTCATAACGGCAACAGTAACTCTGCTGGCAACAATAATGTTGGTAACAACAACACAACCGGCGCCGTCACCAACAATGTGTTGCACCAGTTGGCTAATAGTACACTTGGCAACGGAAGTCCCAATGTGGTTGCCACCACAAACGGGGTTGGACTCAGCTTGCATCATCACCAACACCATGCACAGCAGCAGCAGCAACATCAGTTTAGCAATCAGCAGCAGCAGCAGCAACCGCAACTACACAGCATTGGATCGTCCGCAGCAGCTACATCAGGTAACAATAACAATTTAGGGCGCAGCAGCAGCAGCAGCGGCAACACTACTGGCATCAGTGGCAATGGCCTGCTCACAGCACAAGCAGCAACTAAAACTGCGACTGCAGCTACAAACTTGTTGGCCGCTAATGCAACGGCGAGTAAAATACTCAAGTTGGCTACCAATGCCGCGGCACAGGCAGCAGCAGCTGCAGCCGCAGCCAATGCTGTTGGTACAGTTGATATCATTGCACAGCAGCAGCAACAACAACATAAGCTGCAAGCAATCGTTGATAAAGTACAGTCAAAACAGCAACAAAGTACAGCGACTAAAATTGCGCTGCCAAATTTGGTAAACTTAGGCATTCTCACCCCGGCCACTTCGCCTACGAAACCACCTACGCAGGCAATGACATTTACGCAACAACAACAACAACACCCAACCCAACAACAAGCACAGCCA